GAGATAGGATTGCCTCAGCTTTTTGCGCAATTTTCCTGCATTTTTCGCGAAAAAGTGCTCATATTTGCGGTTTACACTAGGTCACTGCTAGGCGTACCACCCTTGTCTGTTGCTGGTTTCGTGGAAACGGAACCGCAGGGCGTTCATGCAGATTTGTTCACAGGGTTTTGTCTGGAAGAAAGGGAGCTTTGTTGCACGTCTGTTCGACCGGTCCACAGTTGACTTCTTCTTCCATGGGGCTGCAAAATGTTTGAGGAATCGAGTGCTGCTTTTCAGTCAGCAGGCTAATTTTCGTTTGGACAGCATACATCGTTCGGGAGTTCCGGTTAACGGGAAGCAAGGAAATCTGGCTGGTATGAAGAGAGGGTGAGACTGATTTGCGTGCACTTCCAGGCCGAGTCGGTGGTCGACTTTCTGTGTGATAAAATGATGGCGAAAGATGAGAAGATGCGTGACGTCTGTTCGATTGCACTGAAAACGGTAATCAGCGAATTGCCGAACGCGAATGTGCCATTAACAGCGAATGTAATCAAGCGAGTGGTGCCGAGATTAACGGAAGCACTAAGTAAGCTCTTGCGCCTCTCCCTCATTAACCCCTCGCAATTCCTCAGGATGTGGCCACACAAAAGTTTGTTTTTTTCTGGGCCGAAGAACAGACCTGCGATTAGTTGCAGCCGAAGTTGAATTTGCTTGACAGCATATATGCACTGTTTTCGCTCTGCAGCATTGTTTTTTTTGCGAAGATGGACAATCAGCTGGACAGTTTTTTACTTTGCCTGAATTAGCTCCTGCATACCACGGACCTCCGCCACAGCTTCTAGTAGGGTTAAAGGAAAAGTGTTGGTCTAGTTCTGCATGCTGGAGACTTTTATTGTATATAAAAGCCAGGCGCAGAGGACATCTCACATATTTTGCAGGGAGATCTGCAAAGTCTGATCCACTGTGTCTTGTAAAATCCAGTGCAGCGACACACCTTGAATTGATCGGGGGAGGGGGCGGGGTGGGAATGGAGCAGAGAAGACAAAAAAAAACCTGAATCTGGTTCACTCGTGGTTTAAAGTTGAGTTTATTTTTTCTTTAAAACATTGGTTGGGACAAGCCATAAAGTGTGAACGGGTTTTTAGTGGAAATTATTGGGATGACTGAAGGTGAGCCAGGACGAAGAGATGGTGGAATATAAATTGGATACGGGGCGACAGTGGGGAGGCAGGTTCATGTATATCACTAACGGATACGGCATGCTAATAGGATTTGTTGTTTCTGTAGCTTTCAAATACTTATAACTTGATGAATGTGCTGTATATTATTGTTGGAACACTACACATTTCGCAGGCAATAAGGATTGAATGTTAATTCTGTAGTCAGAATCAGCCAGCCTTTTTTAATAGCCATTTTAAACTGAATTT